CACTCCAGTCTGGGCGACAGAGTGAGACTCCAACTCAAAAAAAAAAAAAAAGAATGTTAGTAAATCGTGCTTTAACCTTTGCTATTTCAGCCTCTTTATTGGTGGTTCTTTTTGTCTCATGGTCTCATTTTCTTTTCAAGCTGCTCCTGAAACTCTACACGGGAGCATTTCTCAAAGTAGTGTTTTTAGCTTTTCTGGCAATCCCATTCTTCACAAATGGCTATTGACAAAATTGGGTGAAAGTGACCAGTCAGGTCTCTTGGTATCTGCAGTTTAAATGCTGCTGACTTTGTATACTGACTTCTGTATAAATCTCCATGCAAGAACATTAACTCTACTAACTATATTAAAATAGTATGTTTTGAAAATTATCTTTTAGATACTTAATCATTGGTATACATAGAAATCACTTGGGAGTCCTTCTGAAAATACAGATGCTCAAGACCACTGAAAACCAGTTCAGACTTAATCAGGATTTCTGACATGGGACCTAGCATCAATGTTTTTCAAAAATAACCTCCCTTGGTAGATTCTGCTTATTTCCTTTTTCTAGATGAGGCATTAAGTCTTAGAAAGGTTAAGTAATTTGGCCAAGGTCACACAGCTAGTAAATAGTAGAGGCAGGATTTGAATCTAGATAGTCTGGTTCCTGAGCCCATACTCTAAATTCTTCTTACTCTGTTCCCAGTTACTGATGCCACCTTCCTAGTACCCACCTTCAAAACGCCCACATGGTCTTTACCTATCTTCTTTCTCTTGTCTAATCAGTTGCCAAGTACTGATTAATCTTCCTCCATATTTTATATCTACCTGTGCTTTTCTGTTCCATCTTCTTTAGTCTAACTGAACTGTTACCTGATCAGGGTCCCTAACGTCTTTCTCCAGTTCATCTTTATTGGCTTCCTATTCCTACAGTCTAAGTTTAAACTCAGCCTAGTATTAAAGACCTTCAAAGCCTAGCCTTTATCAATTTTTTCAGGCTTATTTCCCACTATACACCTTCCTGTAATTTCTATTTTGATTGGTCTTAACTTCTTGCTGTCCTCCATACACTCCCGTTACTTGTTTTTTTCCTCATGCCCTGCCTTAAACCTAAAATGTCTGTGAATTTCCAAGTTCTACCTACGCTTTAAGGCCTCTCCCAAATGCAATTTTTCACAAAGTCCTCTTTAATTTTTTTAGCTAATAACAATTGCACTCATCTGAACTCCCACAACATTTCAACTTCTGTCTTTTATTATACTTATGTATGTTCCACTTTTCTAACCTCCCAGAGTTGAAGGAGAGTAGGATTTCTATCTTTTTATTATTATTATTTTTGAGTTGTAGTCTCACTCGGTCACCCAGACTGGAGTACAGTGGCTCCTCCCGGCCATCGCAGCCTCTACCTTCTGGGCTCTGGCGATCCTTCCGCCTCAGCCTTCCAAGTAACTGGAACTACAGGTGTGCACTACCACGCCTGGCTAATTTTTTGATTTATTGTAGAGATGAGGTCTCGCCACGTTGCCCAGGCGGGTCTCAAACCCACGGGATCAGGCAATCCACTCACCTCAGCCTCCCAAAGGTGCGGGATTACAGACTGAGCCACCGAGCCCAGGTCTTTTTTTTTTTTTTTAATCAGAGTCTCACTCTCCACCACAGCTTCGACCTGCTGGACTCAGGTAATCCTTCTGCTTCAGCCTTCTAAGTAGCTGGAACACAGGTATGCACCATCACACCGACTAATTTTATGATTTATTGTAGAAGCAGGTCTCGCCATGTTGCTCAGTCTGGTCTCAAGCCCTTGAACTCAGGCAGTCCTCTCGCCTCCATTTCCCAAAGTGCTGGAATTACAGGCGTGAACCACCATGCCCGGCTAGGATCTGAATCTTATTCATCATCATCTCCCTTACAGCAAATAATACAGTTTAGTATATCTTTGGATAATGAAAGTGTGAATGATGGTAGCTAAGTCATACTTATAAATACAAAGGAAATTTAGCTGTCTTTAGCAAGCATTGGATGCCTGATTTCTTATAGGTCTTTCTAAAGATGAACAGAGATAACCTCTATGGTGGATTTGTGAATTCACTTACCTAGCTGGCTATATATTACACACAACTTACATTTGTGGTTCTTACCTTTTTCTAAGTCCTTTCTGAGTCTCCTTGAAGCAATGATAAGTAGATTTAGAAGAGAATTAGCACATATTATATGGAGCCAGATTTCTATTCCTATTTTTTTGTTTTTAAATAAAGGCAATGCATGCATGCCGATGTCAGATATATACACTTTATAAAATATATATATTTTTAAGATTAAATCTACAGAACCGGGCTCAGTGGCTCAGCCTGTAATCCTGCACCTTTGGGAGGCTGAGGTGAGTGGAGTGCCTGAGCCCGCGGGTTCGAGACCCGCCTGAGCAACTTGGTGAGACCTCATCTCTACACTACATCAAAAATTAGCCGGGCGTGGTAATGCGTGCCTATAGTTCCAGCTACTTGGAAGGCTGAGGCGCAAGGATCGCCAGAGCCCAGCAGGTCAAGGCTGCGGTGGCCAGGAGCGGCCACTGCACTCCAGTGTGGGCAATAAAGTGAGACTCCAACTCTTAAAAAAAAAAAAAAAGATTAAATCTATAGGCCAGGCTCAGTGGCTCAGCCTGTAATCCCAGCACTTTGGGAGGCCGAAGCGAGTGGATTGTCTGAGCCCACAGGTTTGAGACCCACCTGGGCAACTTGGCGAGACCTCATCTCTACAATAAATCAAAAATTAGCTGGGCATTGTAGCATGTGCCTGTAGTTCCAGCTACTTGGAAGGCTGAGGCGGAAGGATCGCTGAAGCCCAGGAAGTCGAGGCTGCGATGGCCAGGAGCTTGCCACTGCTCTCCAGTCTGGGCAACAGAGTGGGACTCCAACTCAAAAATAAATAAATAAATAAATAAAGATTAAGCTGGGCTCAGTGGCTCAGCCTGTAATCCCGCGCTTTGTTAGACTGAGGTGAGTGGATTGCCTGAGCCCGCGGGTTTGAGACCCGCCTGGGCAGCTTGGCGAGACCTCATCTCTACAATAAATCAAAAATTAGCTGGGCGTCTAGCGTGTACCTGTAGTTCCAGCTGCTTGGAAAGCTGAGGCGGAAGGATCGCTGGAGCCTAGCAGGTTGAGGCTGCAGTGGCCAGGAGCGTGCCACTGCACTCCAGTCTGGGCGACAGAGTGAGACTCCAACTCAAAAAAAAAAAAAAGATTAAGCCTGCATATGTAGTACTTAATTCAAAAGTCAAAATATGCTGGTGCCAACCATCCAGTTTTTCTCCATATGTTCTTCTGCACCTGCCTTTTTCATTTAGTGTACATCTTAGAGAGTCTTTGTTAAATGTTCATACACATTTGTCTTCTTCTAGTGGCTATACCTTTATTTATTTATTTATTTATTTATTCACTTGATCATCTTTGTGCAAATACTTCTTTAGGACTTGTAAGGGTGTATTTCAAGAAAAAGAATTCCTAGAAGCAGAATAGTTAGGTCAAAGGGTATATGGATTTTTCTTTGTTGGTTGATTTAAAATTTTGATAGATATTGCCAATTTGATCTGATGGAGTGGCACCAATTTAAGTTTCCACCAGTAGGCATGAGAGTGCCTTTTTAGTAGCAGATCTTTTTGCAGATAGTTTGATTTCTCCTAAGTTTTTCTATCCTCTGGCTTACAAGATAGATTTTCTAATCCTAATAGGTAGTTTAGCATGGTAGGGACAACAGTCGAATTCTACTTTTGATTTATCTAGTAATTGATTAGAAAAAACCTTGACTTTTAGATGTTCTCATAATATGCTAGGCTGTGTAAAATTTTGCAAAGAACGCCGGGCTCGGTGGCTCAGCCTGTAATCCCGCGCCTTTGGGAGGCTGAGGTGAGTGGATTGCCTGAGCCCGCGGGTTTGAGACCCGCCTGGGCAGGCGAGACCTCATCTCTACAATAAATTTTAAAAATTAAAAAATTAGCCAGGCGTGGTAGCGTGCGCCTGTAGTTCCAACTACTTGGAAGGCTGAGGCGGAAGGATTGCCGGAGCCCAGCAGGTCGAGGCTGTGGTGGCCGGGAGTGGTCACTGCACTCCAGCCTGGGCAACAGTGAGACTCCAACTCAAAAAAAAAAAAAAAAAAAAATTTTTTTTTGCAAAGATCATAGGCTTTGGAATCAATGAGCTTTGGGTTCAAATGCTAGCAGTATTACTTCCCAACTGTACCATCCTCTTCCTGTACGCACTTTGTTCTCTTGTTAAGGTTGTTTCCTGATCTGTAATACCCAGCTGACAAAGTTATTGTAAAGATGAAATTAGATTACATATGTAAAATGCCTATTATTATAGTGCCTTTCAAATAGTTTGCACTCAATGAATATTGTTCTTTCTCTCCTATAAATGTGACATAAAAGCTAACAAAACCAACAGGCTTATTTTAGACTTAATTGCTTCTCTCTAGAATCTTAGCTGTCTTAAGTAGCTGAGGGTTCTTAGTCCCTCATAATTCTGAAGGTCAGAGTTCATCAACAAACCTTGTCTTTTTGTAACTGTCATCATGGTAGTTCTTTGGCACCGATTTCAGAGATGCCGTTATTTAATGTATCTTCCCCTTCTTCCTTATAGCTAACTAGCTTATTTTTCTGCCTCCATAGATGTCATTGTCCCTGAGAATGGAGAACCAGTGGGCACCAGAGAGATCAAGTGCTGTATCCGACAGATCCAGGAGCTCATCATCTCCCGGCTTAATCAGGCAGTGGCTAACAAGCTGATCAGTTCAGTAGATTACCTACGTGAGAGCTTCGTTGGAACCCTGGAACGATGTCTGCAGAGCCTGGAGAAATCTCAGGATGTCTCAGTTCATATCACTAGTAATTATCTCAAACAGGTATGCAAAGAAAGGTTGTTAAGACATCATGTCACGGATAACAGATGACACGATCTACATACAAGCCCTGTTTCAAAATAGAGAAGAATTTCCCTTTCAACTTTTGGCCAGTTCTGTTTGAATTTTATTGTTTTCATATCACATGACCACTGCCTCTGAGAGGTGCAGGTGAGCTATAAATTTGCAGTTAAGTTGATGAATATAAAGATGAAGAAGAAGGGCCTAAATAATCACAAAATAGATGATAACTTGATTTGACTTGGTACATATATTGAGGATACATTTGGAAACCCTGAGTCTGGATTGTAATTTTTTTTTTTCTTTAAATTTGCATCTGCCTAAAACAAGTCTGTAAACAACTGGGTAGGTGTACTGTGTTCCTGAAGTGAATGTGATTTATTGGATTTTTGAAATAGCTACACTATTGAAGGTATATTTTCTTTTGTGTGTTCTCTTTCAGATCTTAAATGCTGCCTATCATGTTGAAGTAACCTTTCACTCAGGGTCCTCGGTTACAAGGATGCTGTGGGAGCAAATCAAGCAGGTAGAAGATGCTTAGAAAAAAATTTCTCAATCCCTACTTAGTTCACACGAATCCTAGTCACTCCAGTAGAGAACAGATATCAAGAGTCTTCTGTTAAGGTAGATTGGCTGTTTGTTCTGGTTTGCCTGTCTGGGAGAATTCTGGTTTATGCCTATTCTCAAAAAATTATAACAGTCCTTCCTTTAAAAGTTGTGGATTAAATTTATTGATTTTTGGGGGGGGGGGGTTGGAGTCTTACTCTGTCGCCCAGGCTGGAATGCAGTGGCACGTTTTTGCCCACCGCAGCATCGACCTGCTGGGTTCAGGTGATCCTTCTGCCTTAGCCTTCTAAGTAGCTGGAACTATAGGCGCACACCACCACACCCGGCTAATTTTTTGATTTATTGTAGAGCTGGGGTCTTACCAAGTTGCCCAGGCTAATCTTGAACCCGTGGGTTCAGGCAATCCTCTCACCTTGGCCTCCCGACGTGCTGGGATTATAGGCGTGAGCCACCATGCCCACCCTTAAATGATATTTTATGTTAGGTGTTCTTTGTGGGCAGTGACAAAAAAGAAATAAAAGGTACGTGATTTTATGGAGCTGTAAGACTCTACCTACCTCACTTTTTTTTTTTTTTTTGAGGCAGGGTCTCACTCTGTTGCCCAGGTAGAATGCAGTGCCAGGATCATAGGTCACTGTAACCTTGACCTCCTGGGCTCAGGTGATTCTTCCACCTCAGCCTCCCAAGTAGCTGGAACTACAGGTGTATACCACCACAGCTGGTTAGTTTTTTAATTTTTGTAGAGATGAGTCTCATTATGTTGCCCAGGTTGATCTTGAACTCCTGGGCTCAAGCAGTCTTCTCACCTTGGACTCCCAAAGTGCTGGGATTACAGGAATGAGCCACTGCATTCAGCCCCCTCACTAGTTTCTTCATAATTCCTTTTCCCAGCCCAAATGTTTTCTCAGAACCAGGCTTTGTTATTGCCAGAGGCTGTGAGTGTAGTTCCTGTTTTGGAATCTGATCTGTCTCTTATGTAGAGTTGTTTACTGACTTGAGAAAGATTTATTAGGCACTCCCTGGCACTGAGTGTAACGTACTGAGGGTTTGTGATCATGCAGACTAGGCCTAGTGTTCTTTGATGCTTTCCTCTGAGCTGGGTCCTGATTTTGAGGTAGGTGGAATTGGAGAGGAGGAACCTTGGACTTCATATTGCACTTATCTTAAGAGTACCTGCTCCTAATGAATAGGTAACCCAGAAAAGGAAGGGCCTTGGATCTTTCGAGTGACTCCTATCTCCCATTCCTCAATGATCTTACTGTCTTCATCCCGGCAGATCATCCAGCGCATCACATGGGTGAGCCCACCTGCCATCACTCTAGAATGGAAGAGGAAGGTGGCCCAGGAAGCCATCGAGAGCCTCAGTGCCTCCAAATTGGCCAAAAGCATTTGCAGCCAATTCCGAACTCGACTCAATAGTTCTCACGAGGCTTTTGCAGCCTCCTTGCGACAGGTTGGTGTGTAAGAAAGGAGATACGGCTGGACGAGCAAAAAACCTTATCAGGAGGGGAAATATTTTGCTCTCTACCCTCCATATAAGTTTTTAAAAATCATCAGTGTATTATCTTTCTATTCTGTTAATTATAGCAAGTTTCATCAATAAATTTTTCATGTGGATGTTTTTCTAACTCTAAGGGAATGGAAGGAGCTTCGTTAATTTCTCCCCATAAGATTATATAGTATTTTAGGTATGAATGACAGAAGAGAAAGACTTTCCAACTTCTATACTATTTCATAATTATGTGACATCTGCTTGTCCATTGTGGGGGAGGTGTCAGGGTAGGGAGTGGATAAATGTGATTATGCATCCAGGAGGGAAAACTATTATTTATTGAGAATCCACTGTGTGCCAGTCTCTGTGCTAAGCATGTTATATGTATCTTACTGAATTCTTACAATTACCGTATGGGGTAGATATTATCTCTATATAACAGGTGAGGAAACTGAAGCAAGGGACTTGATAATCCTAAGTCTTTTTTCTCTTTCCCTCCAAGCTGGAAGCTGGCCACTCAGGCCGGCTAGAGAAAACTGAAGATCTATGGCTGAAGGTTCGGAAAGATCATGCCCCTCGCCTGGCCCGCCTTTCTCTGGAGAGCCGTTCTTTACAGGACGTCTTGCTGCATCGTGAGTCTTTGTTTTTTCCAAATAAATTGGAGTAGGGTTCAGAATACCTGACATCTTTATGTCCAGCCTCAGAGAATCCCAATGTTTAAAGCTGCTTCCTTGCAAAACTGCCTAAACACTTACTGATACGTTTTTGAATTCCTGAAGTCTGTTTGGTTCTTCTGTTTATATAGTTCAGATAACAGGACCAAAGTTTATTTGAATTAATCCAGTTAGGTGGTTTAGAATGACGCCAGAATTTCTTCCCCTGGCATGACCACAACTTCCTGGCCTTTAGGTGGGTCCACATCTAAGGATCTTACCGAGGTTGCCCATCAGGTTCCCTTCCCTCTTGCCTTATCTCTATCTCTGTACCTTATAGGTAAACCTAAACTGGGACAGGAACTGGGCCGGGGCCAGTATGGTGTGGTATACCTGTGTGACAACTGGGGCGGACACTTCCCTTGTGCCCTCAAGTCAGTTGTCCCTCCAGATGAGAAGCACTGGAATGATCTGGCTCTGGAGTTTCACTACATGAGGTGGGTTCTGGCCTCATTCATCTCTATGAGAAAGATCCAGAAAAGAAGCTTTAGAAGTCTGGTATATGTTTTGTACCCAGAGCTTCAGCATGCCCTGTCTCGCCATACCTCAGTTTCACAATGTTATAGACCAGTGTTGCTGTGTCTCTTTAAGGCTTTTACTGTCTTTGCTTGCTCTTTCCTCACTTTTTAAATTTCTCAGATTCATCATTCCATTTAACTTTCTTCCTTGGTCATTAAGGCTTATCAATTTTTAGATTCCAAGGTTCTTCATTTTTATTGGAGAGGCATTTTTCTTTGCCCTACATCTGTTCTGAGGGCCATTATCTCTGGCCCTGGACTAAGCATGGTCTTGAGGTCATTCCTTCCTATATTCTAGTTTTGTTGTTTTTTTTTGAGTCGGAGTCTCACACTGTACTCTGTTGCCCAGACTGGAGTGCAGTAGCACACTCATGGCCACCGTAGCCTCGACCTGCTGGATTCAGGCAATCTTTCCACTTCAGCCTTCCAAATAACTGGAACTACAGGCATATGCCACCATGCCCGGCTAATTTTTTTTATTTATTGTAGCGATGAGATCTCGCCATGTTGCCCAGGCTGGTCTTGAACCCATGGGCTCAGGCAATCCTCTCGGCTCCGCCTTCCAAAGTGCTGGGATTACAAGCCTGAGCCACCGTGCCCGTTTTATAGTCTAGTATGTTATACAGGAATAGAGCCCAAGCATTGTGGCCCAGACCTCTCCCCTTCCCACCAGGTCTCTGCCAAAGCATGAACGATTGGTGGATCTCCATGGTTCAGTCATCGACTACAACTACGGTGGTGGCTCCAGTATCGCTGTACTCCTCATTATGGAGCGGCTGCACCGGGACCTCTACACGGGGCTGAAGGTGAGGTGAGGTGAGGCAAGAAAGGAGCTCCACAGTTTCCTTTCTAGCCTTTCATCCTTTTCTGCTTATTCAGAGCTCCTAGCTTTCATGAGAGATTGTTGAAGTATTTAGGCTTTATTGCACTTATTTCCAAAAAACTTAAAGACTTCTCAGAACCTATTTTCTGCCCCAATATAAATCCAGAATACTGTCATTCACCACTTTGACCCCCTGCAGTGGTGGTAAAAATCTAGACTCCTTAGAAGAGCAGAAAAGTCTCCTGTAACTCTGCTCTTCTTTCTCTTTTTGGCTGTCAGTGGATATAGTCAGATTTTGTTGTTTAGTCAACAAATACTGATTACTTTGTATAAGGCCCTGAATTAAGCACCATTAGGGGATATCAAAAAGTGTAATTGCCAGGAGCTCTGAAGAGAATTATAGTCAGTGGATTTTCAGAAAGATGTGGAGTTTGAGCTTGACAAGATTCCTTGATGGGTGGAATGTGGGCAGATGGAAGGAAGAGGCCATACCAGAGAGAGGAACAGTGAATGCTCAGAGCATCTGAAGGCCAATGAGGACACTAGGCATGTTGGAGCAGCTGGTCGTTTGGGGACAGGGGTAGATAATGTACAAAGACATGTTAACCAATTACACGGGACCCAGAATGTTAAGAATTTCCTCAGGGAGGGGCCGGGCAGCTGGCCCGGGTGGGGACCGCCGGGGAGCAGGTCCTTCCTCCCCTGGTGGAGTAGGGTGGGGGGCATTAAAAAAAAAAAAAAAAGAATTTCCTCATAACTGAAATTCTGTTGTAGACAATGAGAAGCTACTGAAGGATTTTATTTGAGTGAAGGTAAAATCCTCAGTTGGATGTTGCATTTCCCTCATCTAAAATAACCACCAAAAGGGAATGAGAGAGGCTTATTTTGTATGTTCCCTACATTGGAGCCGAGCAGAAGGACAGAAAAGCTGACCTCAGAGTCTCTAGGTAGGGCCCTTCTCACAGATTCCCCTTGTGCCAGTACGCATAGGCTTCCAGAAGTGGAAATTAGCGGCAGAGGAAACCTTAGAAATGCTTCTAGGAGTCATGAGGAATCAATATGATGAAGAAAACTCTCCTAGTGGTTTTTCCTTGGTTTTTCCTTCCTCATTTCAGAGGAGTTGTCTGACACTTTTTCACAAGTGAGCTTGAGAACCTCGTTTGAGCTTTTGAATAAGTGATACGACATTTTCCAGAATTCAAGAGATCCTAAATTGAAGTAATCTGAATGTCTTTGGTATTAGGACCTATAAAATCAAACCTGGGCTAACTAGACCTACAAAGCAATGGAAGTAAGTCTTCTGAGAGACCTAGAAATACTTACTTTGAGCCTCAAGGGCAGTTCCAGAGTTTGTTTAGATGTTAGAAGTGGGCTCTTGCCTCAGTCGTTCAGTTATACCTCTTAGTCACATTTTGGGTTGTCTATTTGACATGACTTCAGTCTGCAGGGACTTTGTCTGGCATTGTCTCCTTTACAACTTGCTCTTTCTTGATTTTCCTCTACTTCCTTCTCCTAACTGCTTTCCTCTTCTCTTTTATTTCATTCACTTTTCTGTCCTTGTGTGCCCGATGCTGTCAGTCTTTTAGTTTCCCAAAGAGGGAAGTCTCAGTTGGTGCAAGCAAATTGAATTGAGGAGTTGCCATGTTTGTGACAAGTAAGCTCTTTTGTCTCCCCAAGGCTGGACTGACCCTGGAGACACGTTTGCAGATAGCACTAGATGTGGTAGAGGGAATCCGCTTCCTACACAGCCAAGGACTTGTCCATCGTGATATCAAGCTGAAAAATGTGCTAGTAAGTAAAAGTTATCTCCCTAAGATGAAGTGCTTCCTCAGTGTCCTTCCATGGACCTCATTCTTCCAAGGCTTATCAAGATCCATGTGTGTCAGGTACTATGCTAATCACTGGGGATGCAAAAATTTTAAAAAGGCAATTCCTGCCCTCACATTGCTCCCAGGATGGGGAAGAAGACAGTATAGTCGAATGTCCCTAATCCAAAAATCCGAAATACAAAATGCTCCAAAATCTAAAACTTTTTTTTTCTTTTGAATAGGCATCCCATTGTGTTGACTGAGCTGTAGTACAGTGGTATGCTCATGGCCACCACAACCTCCACCTTCCGTCTCAGCCTTCCAAAAGAGCTGGAACTATAGGCACATGCCACCACTCCCAGCTTTGATTTATTGTAGACACAAGGTCTCACCAAGTTGTCCAGGCTGGTCTCAAACCTTGGGCTCAGGTAGTCCTCTTGTCTTTGCCTCCCAAATTGCTGGGATTACAGGTGTGAACCACTGCACCTGGCCAAAATCCAAAACTTTTTGAGTACTGACATGACCCTAAAAGGAAATACTCATTGGAGTACTTCAGATTTTGGATTTTCAGATTAAGGATGTTGAATTGGTAATATAATGCAAGTATTCCAAAATCCAAAAAAGATCTGTAATCTGAAACACTTCTGGTTCCAAACGTTCAAATAAGGAATACTCAGCCTTTAATGAGAATGAATCTAGAGACGGGGAGGTTGGAGACAGAATTTATTAAGCATAGTTCATGTATCGCATAGTGACATTTTGGTCAGTGATGGACCACATGTTTGACAGTGGTCCCATAAGGTTATGATAAAGCTGAAAAGTTCCTATTGCTTAGTGGCATTGTAGCCATTGTGGCATAATATATTTCTCACATACCATTTTTTTCTTTTATGCCATACTTTTATGGAACCTTTTCTATGTTTAGATACACAAATACCTACCATTGTGTGACAGTTGCTTACGGGAGTCAATACAGTCACATGCTTTATAGGTTTGTAACCAGGATCAGTAGGCTGTGCCATATTTCCTAGGTGTGTAGTAGGTTATGCCATCTTGGTTTGTGGAAGCACACTTTATGATGTTTACACAAGGACAAAATTGTCTAATGGCTCATTTCTCAGAAAATAGCCCCACTGCTCTGCGACGCAGGACTACTACTTTGAGTACCTACTTTTGCATTCAGGTATACAGCAGTGCTGTGTGCAGGATCAGAGACAGTGTCCTTCCATGGGCCTTCACCTCCTCATTTTTCTAAGATTTATTAGGATTCCCATATGTGCCAGAGGATCTGAGACATCTTGCCCTGCTTTGTTGGCAGCTGGACAAGCAGAACCGTGCCAAGATCACTGACTTAGGATTCTGCAAGCCAGAAGCCATGATGTCAGGCAGCATTGTGGGGACACCAATCCATATGGCCCCTGAACTTTTCACAGGTAAACTGGAGGGCAGGGAGTGGGTTTGGACAGGGCTTATTACTTTAACCCTGTGTGCTACCCCTTGAGCTAAGTAGTATCCACAAGTATCACTGGCATATCTGGCACAGGCAAGGGAGAAACCAGAACAGAAGATACCTAAGACAAGTAGGAGGAAGAGTGAAGAGGTAACAGAGTGAGGAAGAAAAGTACAAATGGGAATCACCAGCTGTTCTTTTGGATGTCTGTCTGGGTTATTAGTGCCATAATTGCCACAATCAGCCAACTATTTAATCATGAAGTATTGATTGATAGTTCCTAGGAGTTGTCCTTTATCATTAAAGTTGACACAGAGCTGTATTGAAAGAGATAAAAGGATTAGGAAGCAGTATAACAGCATGTGATTAAGTGCAAATTAAGTCCTATATAATGTACTGTTGGTGCTCAGAAAAGTGATAAATGAGGGTGGAAATGCTTGATGGTTTTGTGGTAGAAGTGAAATTTTGAGTAGAACTTGAGTCTCTTGGAAAATTGGTAGATGGGAAGAGACCTCACTGTAAAATATATACTTTGAGCTAGCCAGTATGGGTACTTTTTAATATATATTTAGTTTTATTTAACCCTTACAATAATTCTGTGATAACATTGATGGATTTTTATGTCCATTCATGAATAAAGTTGAGACCAGATTGGTAAAGAAACCTACCTCAAAAACATTGAGTTAGAAGGTAATGAAACTGGGATTTGAATCTGTCGGTCTCCTAACCTATATCATGAAGGAGAGAAAATTTTGGAAGTTGAAGAAGGGGAAATAATTATAAAAATCACAGAATAGAAATAAACTTGACAGGAAAGAAATTCATTTGGGACATAGTGGCAAACAAGGTTGTAGATAACTACCTTGAGCTTAAAATTCCCTTGCAGTGGTTAAGGCTTGTTGTGCAAGATTTAAGGAGCTACTGAGCTTTAGAGCAGAGGGAGGATGAAAAGGAAATGTTGATGGAAGAGGAGCTTAGCAGCAGCAGGTGAAGAGAATTTGACTGGGAAAAACCAAGGTAAGGAGGCCAGCCAGGTAGGTAGTGGTTGCCTCCAGGATTAGGTTTGGTATTAGTGCTGAAACAAAGAAATGTGACAGATTGAGACCAGTTCAGAGGAAGAATGGGGATACTTTTATTCATTTGATATGGTTGATGAACAGAAAACAGTGACTAAAAGATGACTCCAAGGTTTGGAGCCCTAGTGGATGGGAAATGATTTTTCTATTGCCATGGAAGATGGAAAGAAAGTTGCAGGGCAGTCATTAGTACTGATGAGCATTTTAATTAACAATATATTTGAATTTCTTTCATTTCATACACAAGTCTTTCCCCAGCCATTCATTTTAGTGACACACATAAGGACTAGGTATTAGCTAGACAGCTGTAGTCCTACTCACATCTGAACTAAATAGATAATTTTTCTTTCCCTAAATTCACTTTTAAAAACTTCCAATCCTACTTCTATTCTTCTGTTTTGTTTACTTCACACTTAAATTCCTTTAGTTGCTTTTACTGGGGTCTGCCCTCTTTCAGAATTATCTTTCAAAATATATATACAGGGGTGCCAAAAAAATGTACTCACATTTTAAGGAAGGAAAAAACTATATTAAAATTATAGATGGATACAAGTCACATTTGACTTCTGCCATTACAAGAGGTCCTCAAAGTGGTTACCATCAGTGACCAGACACTTCTGATTATGGCGAACTAAAAGTAATACATAGATAACATCTCTTTAGTATGTATACATTTTTTTTGGCCAGGCACGGTGGCTCACGCCTATAATCCCAGCACATTGGGAGGCCAAGGTGAGAGGATTACCTGAGCCCTCGGGTTCGAGACCAGCCTGGGCAACTTGGCAAGGCCTCACCTCTCCAATAAATCGAAAAATTAGCTGGGCATGGTGGTGTATACCTGTAGTTCCAGCTACCTTGGAAGGCTGAGGTGGAAGGATTGCCTGAGCCCAGCAGGTCGAGGCTGCGGTGGGCATGCACTCCAGCCTGGGCAACAGAGTGCGACTCCACCTCAAAAAAATATATATATATACACATACATTTGTTGAGAGAGAGAGAGAGAGAGAGAGAGAGAGAGAGAGAGAGAGGAGGCTGAAGCCAAAGGATTGCCTTAACCCAAGGGGTTCAGGCAACAGTGAGCCGCCGTGATTGTCCCAGTGCACTCCAGCCTGGGTGACAATGAGACCCCCAACTCAAAAAAAAAAAAGCTTCAGATTTTGGTTCCAGCATACCCACCCATCTGCATTTTCCAACTTTATTTTGTTAATATGACCTTTCAGGATTAATTTTTCATTGGTCCATTAACAGAAAAGGCCTTATTTTCCTTTTTTTTTTTTTTTTTTTCAAATTCTAGTCTTAGCTCTCTCTCTTTTTTTTTGAGCTGGAGTCTCACTCTGTCACCCAGACTGGAGTGCAGTGACTGCTCCCGGCCACCGCAGCCTCGACCTGCTGGGCTCCGGCAATCCTTCCGCCTCAGCCTTCCAAGTAGCTGGAACTACAGGCGCACACTACCACGCCCGGCTAGTTTTTGATTGTAGAGCCAAGGTCTCGCCAAGTTACCCAGGCGGGTCTCGAACCCGTGGGCTCAGGCAATCCTCTCGCCTCGACCTCCCAAAGTGCTGGGATTACAGGCTGAGCCACCGAGCCCGGCTAGTCTTAGCTCTCTTAATATACAGCTTTAACCTCCCAATGTCATAGTTTATTGTATTGTAAAATGGAAATAAATGTGCCCTGAGCTGGGATCCCTGAGCTTGGGAGGTGAAAGTGAGAGACTGCCTGAGTCCAAGGGTTCAAGTCCAGCTTAGGCAACATGGTGAGACCTTGTCTCTACAATAAATCAAAAAATTTGCTGGGTGTGGTAATGCTCACCTGTGGTTCCAGCTACTTGGAAGGCTGAGGCTGAAGAATCGCCTGAGCCTAGCAGGTCAAGGCTGCAGTAGCCATGAATGTGCCACTGCACTCCAGCCTGGACAACAGAGTGAGACTCCAACTCAAAAAATAAAAATAAGGCCGGGCTCGGTGGCTCAGCCTGTATCCCAGTACTTTGGGAGGCTGAGGTGAGTGGATTGCCTGAGCCTCCTGGTTTGAGACCCGCCTCGGCAACTTGACGAGACCTCATCTCTACAATAAATCAAAAATCAGCTAGGCATGGCAGCATATGCCTGTAGTTCCAGCTACTTGGAAAGCTGAGGCGGAAGGATTGCCGGAGCCCAGCAGGTCGAGGCTGCAGTGGCCGGGAATGGTGGCAGGGTGAGACTCTAACTCAAAAATAAATAAATAAATAAGAAAATGTGTCCTGCCTACCTGATAGGGTTTTTATGAGAGATAATAGATGTTAAAAGCTTTAGAAAACAGTTAAAGACCTCTGCAGGTGCAAGGTGGCTGTGATGCTGCTGCCTGCCTCTCCCTGGCTAATCACTTTTTATCCTGTCTTGCCCTAGGAAAGTATGATAATTCTGTGGATGTCTACGCTTTTGGGATTCTTTTTTGGTATATCTGCTCAGGCTCTGTCAAGCTTCCTGAGGCATTTGAGCGGTGTGCTAGCAAAGACCATCTCTGGAACAATGTGCGAAGAGGTAAGAGCTACAAGCACTGCTTTTTCCTTACTCCCCCGGCGAGAGCAGACCTAGACAGTGTCACAGGTGCCTCCTGTCATCCTTTCTGGTCATCCCACAGCAGGACAAAACACATTTAAATCATCATGGAATCCAGAGAAGACATCTAAATAACCTTTGCTTTCAGACAGCACTTATCTCAAAAAGGATTTTTTAATTGCAGTTCTTCTATTTCCTATGTTAATATGTTCCAGTTGTTGTATCACTATTTCTATTAGGCTCTAACCTAGATGTTTGCAATTGAAGTCAAAGCTCATTACATTCTTTAGTGTCCTGAGCCTCAACTGGCCACGCCTCTTTGTTATGCTGGCCTCTCTCGCTGTGGTCTTACTTCCATGCTCCTTTCTCTAGGCGCCCGCCCAGAACGTCTTCCTGTATTTGATGAAGAGTGCTGGCAGTTGATGGAAGCCTGCTGGGATGGCGACTCCTTGAAGAGACCTCTCTTGGGCATTGTTCAGCCCATGCTCCAGGGCATCATGGACCGGCTTTGCAAGACAAATTCTGAGCGGCTAAACAGAGGACTAGATGATTCTACTTGAAAGCAAAGACCTTTCTCTTTTACTCTCTATTTCTTCCTTCCCCTCACCTTTTGGCCATGGGGAGAATTTGATGTGTATGGGGCGCTCCTGAGGTAATTGGTGCTCGTTGGGCAACTTGAGACCCTCCCAGGCAGAGATGACTCCAGAACAGTGAAGAGTTGGGTGACTGAGCATATTTGGCAGTTCACTGAAACTTTGAGCTATCCCTTTAGCAAAAAATGTCTAAGACATGTAAAAGTGGAGGAATGTGATAGTCTGGCCTCAGAGCTGAGACGGAGGCAAATGTTGCCATTGTCTACTCACTGAATATGCTTCCAAGACAACAAGTGGGACACTGCAATGGCAGTAGTATTAAAAATTCTCGTTTTTAATTCCTGGCTCTAGCTAGGAATCGTTTAGTCAAGACCCTTAGAAAACTTGAGTTTAGTTTTAAGATTGTGAGAACATGGGGACCAAAAAAATAATAATAATGACTGGATGTCTGGCTCTTGCTAACTGTAACCAGGGGTCTAAGCAACAGCCAGAAACCCTGGTGAGGGAGCTAGACACAAAGCCATCTTTTCCTCACAGTGCCAGTGTTTACAAATATAGACCACATAGCACTGATTTCTGGGGGAGAGTTTCACTGTTACATCACTAAGAGGCCAAAAAAAAAAGAAAGAAAGAAAAAGAAAAGAATGTGTATGCATATGTAAGTGTGTGTGTATGTATATATAGATATACATAAGCTATAGGATTTGAGCTACTACTAACCCCAGAACAGAATCTGTTCTTCTACCTTGAATCTTTTCCTTACCCTCCTCCCATTTTGTCTCAAGGTGGGAAAGCTTCAGATGACATGGTACTTAGTAGTAAGTGTCTGAGTAAAACCAATCCAACATTAAGTATCTGGGTGAGACCTGAGAAGTAAGAAATGATCCAGAGGCTATGGCCTACATACAAACCTGCTGGAAGGATACCAGTTTGTTTTTACAGTTTAACAAAATCAGAAACTCTTCATTTTTGCTTGAATCAAATACACTGATGCTTTTATTTTTATTTTATTTTTCTGAGTTGGAGTCTCACTCTGTCACCCATACTGGAGTGCAGGGGCATATTCATGGCCACTGCAGCCTTGACCTGCTGGGCTCTTGCGATCCTTCTGCCTCAGCCTTCCAAGTAGCCAGAATTACAGGCATGCGCTACCACGCCCGGCTGATTTTTTGATTTATTGTAGAGAAGAGGTCTCGTTGCCCAGGCGGGTCTTGAACCCACAGGCTCAGGCAATCCACTCACCTCAGCTTCCCAAAGGCGCGGATTACAGGCTGAGCCACTGAGCCCGGCTTTAACCAAGGTTTTATACACACATACACACACACACACACACACACACACACACACTCACTCACCTCAGCTTCCCAAAGGCACGGATTACAGGCTGAGCCACTGAGCCCGGCTTTAACCAAGGTTTTATACACACACACACACACACACACACACACACACACACACACACACACACACACACACTCACCTCAGCTTCCCAAAGGCGCGGATTATAGGCTGAGCCACTGAGCCTGGCTTTAACCAAGGTTTTATACACACACACGCACGCACGCACGCACACACACACACACGCATGCCAGACAAAAGAGAAGAACACGCTTCTGAAAGTCCTATGGGTTAGTGCTAGGGAAGCTTCCTTGGAAGCTGAGAGTTCCTCATGAAGTGTGCATGAGGAGACGGTCTGATTCTGGGCAGAGGAAGAGGAACAATTTAAATATTGATGCACCTCAGATCTTAACTTCAAGCCTTCCTCAACCAGACTGGTCCATTTGATTCAGTAAAACAGGGAGATAAAGGAGTACACAGTGAAGTGAGTAGCCTTCCTCCGTCTGCCTAATCCCCAAGAACTGTGGTCAGGCCCCTGGCCCACCCCAAAGTGTGTGAAACAGGTCCCAAAGTAGATGTGTAACATGAATGACACATTTACTGCTGGAATTTTCTAGGATTTTTTGTGACAGACAAGTATAAATGGAGTCTGTAAAAAGTTTTTCACATAAAGCAGTTTTAACTCTTTGGCTAAACTGGGCTCTGATTATGATACCTGTGATCATAGCAGCCCTCTACGCTCTTGCAGCCCTTCAGAAACTCCATGTAGTGCTAAAAACCTTTTTACTTGGAAATGATACGGTAATGATAAGTGTTTTGGGGTTCTGTAGGCTCCACCCTTGTTTTGATAGAATGTTCAATATATCTCTTAGAGTTTTTAACATCTGTTTGGCTATGCTTCAAGTTACTCTATTCTCTGTGTTAATTCCTTGCCCTTCTGGGGAGTCTGATAGGGCTTCCAGGAAGCCAGGTGTCAAGAAAGGAGGGGTGAGTAGTGTGTCCTTGCTGAAGAGTAATTGTTAAGTCTGTTTTGTATGAAATTTCAAGAAAAGTCTTATTGTAGTTTTTTTTCCAGACTGTCCTTTAACTCTGGCTATAATCAGGAATTGTGTTTTCATTATGGAGGCCACATTCCTAACATTCTTTGAAAGTCTTAGCTCATACTCCCATTCATACATACCCCCATATCTGGAGTTCCTTTTCAGTTTATCCCTGAGGCTTAGTCTGCTATCAAATACCAGTTTTCTAGCAGATTCTCCTTTTTTTTTTTCTTTTTTCTTTTTTTTGTCCAGTGGGGGAGGGAGGAAGGGAGGAACTAATGTAAGTAAGGAATTGAATAGTTGTTTTACAGTTCTATTTTTTAAAAAGTATTGCAAGAAAAGGTGCAAAATATTCCTGAAAGTCTCCAGGCCAGCCAAAGTCCATATGTGGATATTTGGGGTGTTATTTAAATACTCAGCAGGCTGAGTGCAGGAATACGTGTGTATAGCTTGTGTATACTTTCCTTTTGTTTTATAACATTGTCAGCTAATTTTGGCATCTTTATTCCTTGGCATCCATTCTTATTAAAGTGATGGAATGCCATGAAATGTACTGTATTGTATATTACTTGGGAAGACACTAGGTATTCAAAGAAGTCTAGTGGCACTGGGGTTGTAGAGGGCTCCGTATAACCAAAGTCCTGAAGATTTTACCTCCCAATTTTGGTTGTACATGTTCCCAAGAGGTGAGGTGAGATTGTGGCTGGAGGAGGAAGAAGAATGGCATGAAATAATGAACTTTGCTGTGTTTTGTCCTTCTAATCAACTTAATTGGGGCAGTTTCCCCTAGCAGGACAATGGTGACCTGGCCATTTTTAATGAGATTCAAGTCTGTTTGCTCATTGTGCTTCAGAACTGAGCAAGAGACTTCTCTGCCAAGCAGTGAGGAAACGTGGTAGATCTGGGCCCCTGAAATGGCTGACCCTGTGCCTAGAGATAGCAGTAAGGGCAGTCAGGCACAGTTGAGGAAGCCTTGTTTGAATGACGTTTCCACAGGCCTGTCTTGGTTCCCTGATCCTCTGCAGAGAACAGCTCATTTATATGAGCAGGCCCTTCACTTCTCTGGGAAGGACTGTGCTGGTTGTTCCCAGGCCAAAGAAAGTGACACCTTCAATTTCAAGGGGACAGAGCCTAGGCAGCAGCTTCTCCTCATTTTTAACACTAAAATTCAAGGAAGCAGTGGGGGAGAGGATACATTCCTACCACAGATAGAAATAGGGAAATAGTAGAACTCTTGAGTAGTATCTGTCAACTCTCAAATGCATTTTTGTATCTTTGCTTGAGCTGCCAAAGAAGGGTCCCAAGATGTTTTCCCTGATGGGGGAAGTGGCTCGGGGTTGCAGGGCTGCAAAGTGACAACTGCACTGAATGACACTTTATTTTTTGGCTTTGGCTTTTTTAGCACTGAGAAGCCCAGGGGGATTGGTGATTATAGTAGCACTTTGGGAAATTAAGGCACTTCTGGGCTTGCTTTGGAGAGACAGTATGGCTGGTATTCCATTTGGTTAATCAGGAAAACGCTAGAGTCCATATTGCATCAGGATGGGATTAACAGCCCTGGAAGAGTCCATTGCCAAAAGACTAGTTCCTTTCTTTGAGTTTTCAAAGCTTGCCTTTTGGATTTGCTGGATCAAGTAACCCACTTTTTGAAAGAAAAGGGGGGTTATCCTTCCGAATAGGGGATAGGGTAGGATGTGTAGAGCTTATTCATTGTTAAAGTAGCTAAGGAGGGAGTGGCCTTGAGACACTTGTATTGTAAACTCCCCTGGAGGTTTCAAGTAGCACTACTATTCTTAAAGAGTTTTATTTTTAACTTCATTTGCTTTGTTAACATCCAGTCCAGTTGGGATGATCACAGAGACTGTGAGAGAACCCCTGGCATTGGGGAGGCCACCTTGCCCAGATTGTTGAAAGGAAAATTGGTTTGGACAGCTTGTTGTCTTTTGTCGTTATGTAATGTTTTTTGTTTGTTTTAAAGGACTAATGTTTATTACAGTGTTAAATAAAAGTGTAACATACTAAGTGTGTAGAATAAAAGTGCAATAACAAAAGAAAATTACTTTGACACAAACTTCAGTCTTTATACGCTCTCCTTTCTTGTGCTACCTGGATCTTTCCATAATATTGTTACAGCAGGGCCGTATAATTGTATTTTTAAGAGACGCGACTCTGGGTTAAGTCCTTGTTAGTATAATTTCAAATGGTTGGGTTTGGCTTTATAAAGAATTCTATAAAATTGTTGGGATGCACAAATACCAGATGTGCTGTATAATAAAGATCCCATTAACATTCTAGGTCTTTATCTGTTTGGCATTGCTTCTCCCTTACCTCACATTTTAGCAGGATGTTTCCCATTCCATTCCATTTCCACTGTGACATGCAGTCAGATAACTTTCAGTCTGCCCTAGAAGAGGTTGATGAAACATGTTACTTCAGCCAGGCTCGGTGGCTCAGCCTGTAATCCCGCGCTTTGGAAGGCCGAGGTGAGTGGAATGCCTGAGCCCACGGGTTCGAGACCCGCCTGGGCAACTTGGCGAGCCCTCATCTCTACAATAAAACAAAAAAATTAGCCGGGCGTGGTAGCGCGTGCCTGTAGTTCCAACTACTTGGAAGACTGAGGCGGAAGGATCGCTGGAGCCCAGCAGGTCGCACTCCAGTCTGGGTGACAGAGTAAGACTCCAACTCAAAAAAAGAAACATGTTACTTCTTCATCAGGGGCCCTCACCAGCCACAATCCCTCATGATCTGTGGGTACTTTACATTACCACTACTATGGGTGGCGGTGGGGCAAGGGATAAGAGAGCAAAATGGCAGAGAAGTGCAAAGTGGAATGATAGAGAGCAAGTTATTTTCCACAGCCTTCCCTGGGACTTCACCAACTTCCTGTCAGCACAGACTTTCAGCACTCTGAATTCACACACAAATTTGGCTGCTCTTTATTACACTGGAGGGAATTTGGGGATTGTAATCTATATGCTGGCCTATCTGCATTTAGTGTATTTTGAATTTTCTATTTAGGCTGACCTATTGTTGAGATTTGCTTGCTTAGCAGTGCATGAAAGGCACCATCACCTGAAGAGCAGCACTCTATGTAGTCACCAGGGAAGGTGAGCATGCCCCATGCCTCTTCTCCCATGCAGTGTGTTTGCCTTGGTTTGTTTTTGGTACCAGATCACGCTGGGCCATTGGCCTAGTCATTTTTTGCTCTGAGATTTGCCTGCAACACAAAGTTATCCAGTAGATGGCAGCACATCTTAAACAGTTGGTGTGTTTGTGTTGCTTTTTTTTTCCCCGAGTCAAGGTCTCGCCCAGGCTGGAGTGCAGTGGCAGGCTCATGGCTCACCACAGCTTCGACCTCCTGGGCTCAGGCGATCCTTCTGCCTCAGCCTCCCAAATAATAGGGACTACAGGTGCACACCATTACATCCAGCTAATTTTTTATTATTTTTTTTGTAGAGACAGGTCTCACTATGTTTCCCAGGCTGGTCTCAAACTCCTGGGCTCAAGCAGTCCTTTTGCCTTGTCCTTCCAGAGTGCTAAGATTATAGGCATGAGCCACTGAACCTGGCCATTTGTTCTCCTTAATAGAAAAAGCTGGAGTTGAGTCAATCAGTGGTTCACAGTCTACACCTACACTACACAATAGTCATTTAATACAACTGGAAGCTGGTTAGCTCAGTT